GATTCAATAGTTATACTATATTCTTACACTCCTACTGTGCAGATATTACATCTGACACTCAAATAGCGTGGATGTTATTTCTCTATCTTTTTTAACAATGCTCAGTATTTATTTTAGATCAATGATAATGATGATAATAATAATAATAACCAGAATGTGAGTTATATCATTAATTACAACATAGCCTTGTGGCAAGTCTCGCAAGCGAATACGCAGCAGCTTGATAAAGAGCTAAATGTGAACTGTAAAACAAACTCTATATCGTAGCCAGTAGGGTGAGCACGAGCCAAAAAAGTGAAAATACACGATATCAGAGTTTTATGCGATATCTCTCAAGAAAATCATCGGATCATCACCAAATTCAATAGTGCACATCTTCATAATGATATTGACACAAATACAAAAGATCAAAAGAATCTATAGAGAATTGTAGTCTGTAGAGTGAGCACGAGCCAAAAAGTGATAAAAAAAAACGAACGCGATATCAGAGTTTTATGCGATATCTCTAAAGAAAATCATCGGATCCTCACCAAATTCAATAGTGCACGTCTTCATAATGATATTGACACACATACAAAAATCAAAAGAATCTATTGAGAATTGTAGCCTGTAGAGTGAGCACGAGGTAAATGTGACAGACCGACGGACCGACAGGGGCAACCACAATATACGTATAAAAATGGAAGATGATAATCGTAAAGTTCATAATACCTGAATCTTAATTAACCATTCTATTTATGAAAATCATCGAAAATCAACAAACAGACAATACATTGTATTGTTCTTGACATAGCCGACGGTGACTTCTGAAGATGTCTGACATTTTAAGCAGTTTGTATCCATCCAGATGCGTATATTGCTGGCATCTATGTCGATCCGTTCAAAAAATTGTCCGCAAACTCTAGAAGCTTGAACGTTTTAATATATTTCAATCAAATTCAATGAACATAGCTTGTGTAAGTAAATTATGAAATGAACATTCAGTTTGAATTTCGGTGCAATCTGATTACCTGAAAAGTGATTCGGCGCCTATTCCGTCGTCACTCTTTAAAACAACTTCAGCTTGATCAGTTAGATACATAAAAGTAAATAGCTCATATTCTTCTGTTTCCACATTTTGTGTGACATAAACGATATTCATATAAGTATATAAAAAGGTGTAGGAGACGGGGGAAACGCCCCTCCCTGACCCCTGCCAAGTATTATCTTTTCAGGCAGCGTCTGAAAAACTATCGAAAACAAAGAAAAAAGTGTGGGAAAATTATGAAAGCACAAAGCTATAATATAATACATTCCATTTACTGTATTTCAAGGGGCGAAAGAATGTGTTCGAAAGGAATGAGGAAGAGGGATGAGAGAAGAAGTGGTTAGCCTCACGAGATCAGGGGCACTAATAAGGGACAAACGCACCCTAATGGGGAGACACGGTTCAGTTTCAAAATGCAACAAAAAATAAAATTCAAAATATGTTGTGGGAGCGCCGAAGGCTTAAGACCCCTATGAAGCGTATGATATAGTTCTTGAAGATTTTTTTTTTCGAGAGAGTTGTATTTGAAAAGTATAAAAAACTCATATCAAATATGCAATTATTGATGTATAAAATTCCACAATTTTTTTTACTGAGCATTTTAAATTTGATATACAGTTTTTAACTGTGTTGACATGCATAAAGATGAGATATGAATTTGTATGAAATATGTTAACATAAAATCTGCATAGGTTGTTGTAAAACTGAAGGAAATAACAATTTCGGACATTAAAATCCATATCCATATCCAGACTAAAAAACAAAATAGGCATAGGCATGCACAACTCCATATGTACCGTTGATAAAGAATCATCCTCGATATGAAAACAGATTCAAGTACATCCCGATTTATCTCAAAGAAACCTGGTTTGGTCGGATAATAACTAAACAGAAATAACAGTGATTCTTGGCCCTGTATTTCCAACTAAATATTTACCGTTCTCGCGACGATAACCAAATGTCCCAAGGACGTCTTCGATAATAACGAGGGATCGACGAATTACCGAATTTTGTAAACGAACATTATTAACATCTGAAATTTTTCGAATCTTATGTCTTTTCTTTAATATTATTCATCACATTTCGCTCATTGTATTACGGAAGCATATTAGGGCCATTCATTT